GCTAACATCACTTTCTACTGTTTGTTGTTAGACAGCCGTATGAGTCTTGTCGTTGGCTCCTAAATTCACTCCTAACTCTGTAGATTTGACGCAAAATCTGGAGAAGCAGTCGCAATCTGCACAAAGTTACAAGTAAGAGCGTCAGGAGCATGTGTGTTCTCGAACCTTCTAACCAGCTTTGCCCTATAACTGACTGTTACACTCACAAAGCGCTTGCTCAATAGTTAATTCAGGGCTCGTTCTGTTCGTTTCAAAATGTCCTTGATTGCCTAGTGCTGTTTTGGCCACAGTCTACCGCTTATCGTTAGATGTGTAATCGGTAGCACATTTTCCCAAAAAGTGAGAAGTGCGGGTTCGATTCTCGTCCGGGAAAGAGTTTTGTCCACAACCAAACTATCCTGCGTTACCTGTCCGTTTCGATTGCGAACGGTATAAAAGAGCTATTCAGATGGTATTTCGCATGAATACGTGGCGAGGTCAGAAACACCGCGCACTCCTAAAGGGACCCTAATGTTTCACGTTAGGTCAGAATAGGGCACCTTTCGATCACATCACTAGGATTTGTGGCCTGAAGTCACATTGTGAATGTCAAGTGAGGGACTTTGCTTTGAAGTCACGATACGCGAACAGCTTCACATTTCTGAGGAGGTGGCGAGGTGGCCTGTTGCAGGTCAAGAAAAATGTTGTGTTTGTAAACTGACCATCGTCAGTTTACAAACATGCAAACATGGTAGCAGGATAAGATCTGCTGAAACTTGTTGACACGTCATCTGGTGCCCACTGAGACGTATTTTTTCGGAAAACAGCCGAGAATATCAGCAAACAACATATCATTTTTGAAAAGGGTGCTGTGATCACCTGGCAATCAGTGGTTCAGCCAATTTCTTCACAAGGGTCAGCGATGTCTCTCTCGTTCCTAAACGCATGAGCAGTCCATTTTTGTGGTGCAGTGCTTTGAGAAAAGAGCGGCCATAGATCCTGCCGACCGTGGTTGCTGTGTGCACTTCACATTCCGCAGGTTACATAAAAAGCCTCAACATTGCTGAACGTTGCATGTGGTAAGCGGTCGGCTCTATCGAAGCTTAGCAATCTATCCAGCTAAATATTGTCATTCTCAATCCTTTGTTTTGTTTTTGAATGCATTTTGTAAGCTAAATTTCAGAGGCGGCGTGAATTTTTGTCTCGATAGCTGCTGGATGGGATTGCTCAAGTGGCACCATTTCCAGTTAGCACCATCATACCTAAAGTCCAAGATAGGCACCTACGCGATCACATTTTATACCTCTCAGAGAGGAGGATGAAGGTCGCAAAACTGAGCATAACAGAAACGAAACAGTGCCATTAGCGGGTTCTCTATAGGTTCCACATGTGTACTAATGCCATCCTTGCAAAAGCTCACGAGCAGCATGAGGCATTTTCATTTACCACTGAGACTGCTTGAAGGGGGTCGCATGCACTCATTGCTTCTGAAAATAACTTAACCATCGTCCTTGAGCCCATATACCTATAACTAGGTAGTTCTTGAAGGTAATCATAAGTCAAAGCACGGCATGGTCTAGCTTAACATTAACACTTTTCTCCATCTGGCTTCAACTCCTTTTCTCCAATCTGCCATTCTCATGTACCTGCTTTGAAAGGGCAGTTTCAGGTCCAAGGTTCAGGTTTCATGGTTTCGCCTAACTTCCTAGCAAGCAACCTCCAATCTATTGAAAACCAGCCTTTCCCCTCTTCCTTCTCAGAACCCCGTTGAAATAAGAGAATCATTGCTCAAAAAATACCGGCCCCCGTCCTAACAGCACAATTACAGCTCGCGCCAAGAAAATCCCAACGGACAGTTGTTCCTAGGTCAGAGTCCAATGACCGCAAAAGCGTATTGGGTTGCCCAAAAGTGTCATGTCCGCTCAATAGCGTCCAACGCAACACAACTCTAAGCCTTCTTCAGATTTTGAAGATAATTATCTTTCTAGGGCATAAGGCCCTGATAAATTTGGTGTGGGCATAGTAACATGCATCAGCAACCCTTGAGTTTAATTGAATCCCTTGAACGCGCCATCCTAAACGGTCTCGATCTACATCCCAACGATCACACTTTTGCCGCTTCTATCTTGACACTTTGCTTCTCACTTTACTCGCCTGCACCTAGGAGTCCAGGCAGTGAAATGTATCTATCCGATAGGTGGTGCCTTGGTCTGATTCCTGCATCAAATTGGCGTCCGCCGTATTCTTCATACTGCACCCACTAACTCTTGTGTGTTTGTGTGTCTCATACTATAAGAGCCTCCTCGCAGTTTCTTTGAAGTTGGGCCTCCATGACCAGCCGGCCAAACGAAGGCTGTAAATTCGCAACCTGCGCTCGACTGTTGACAGCTTGGCGCTAACAACGAGAACAGTCACGGAATCCTCAAGGAGCCGCGATGTTCTTGAGAGTGGGCGCGCAAGATTTTCGTCTGGAAAGTGCCACAGTGGCTGCCAATCGGGAAATGTATTTTTCATCAAGAAAGGCAGTGGCAGAAAAACTGTATAAGAGTTCATCGCTAAGATTTTTTTGAGTGTGTTTCGATTTTTTTACCCTTCCGCTGTCTATGCCTCCCTTTAGAATGTGTCGCCAGCAAGGCAGGACTATGTTTAGTGGGAACAACATTATGGACTCGACCTAGAGTCGAAGTGAGATCTTCAGCAATGAAATACTTGCTTTCTGGATCATTATGAACGGCACTGGTCCACACGCAACAAGTTTCAGAAATTTTCGTAATTATTTATCGCTTGAAATAATAGCGACTTCTTTTGTTTTCACTGGGTCTAATGGGCTATTTTCGATTTCCTTCACACAAACTGTTGGGCTAACACCATAAGGAAGACTATCAGGGTCTGGGCATCCTTGTTTTGGACATGCCTCCAGCTTTCGAAATTCGTCATTCACGCCCTTCATTCACTATGAAGGCAACAGGCAAATATTAGCATAAACTCCGTTAAATAGAGATCACGGCATCCACCTGTCCTTAATATCAGCTCGAAGCGTCGCGTCTGCTGCATCGGGTCAGCTATGTCTGTTGCGGTCTGTTGGTCAGCGAACTCGTTAGCGATTTCGCTCGACTGGGGAGAGGCCATCTCGTCGACTGCTACGATAGGCAAACACCCAGTAGAACGGATAAGCAGCACGAGCTGTTCCCACCACCATCCATCACTAATTCTTGAGTCTCTCTCCAGTCTATTTTGTCACTTACCATTAGTACACGAGCTTTATCTCTTAACACTTTCTGCGGGCTTCCTTATGCACTTATTGCAAAACTCTTCCACCTTTCTTATTTGATTTTTCCGGATTATCACTTAACTACCAAGAATTTCTTTGAAGTTTTCAAAGGTTAATGCTTTGTTCATAATGCTGATTAGTCACTGTAACCAGCACTAACATAGAGCCTGGCATTTCTTCAGTAGGGCCACTGGCTTACCTTCGTCCAAGAAAAAAAAAAAACGTCTTGCAAAATGGGGAAATTTCCCATCATCCACACATGCCTAGTTGTTTTTGCTTGTCATAAATCCACACATGGCAACCAAATGAAGAAGGATTGGAGGAGGAGAGGAAACTGAGGTGACGGCTGCAGCAGAGAGGATCGAACCTATCCATGATTGAAAATTGATGTTCAAAACTGAGTTTTTCTTCTGGATTAATATCCACGTCCCCTCCATAAGCCCCCTCCTGGCCGCATACACTAAGCCTAAGGTTTCGCAGAGTCAAGTAATTAAAGTCAACTAGAATCGATTAGGCTTGCCTTGCCTACGAATAAGCTCAGACATAATCACAGCTTACAAGAAGGTGTAGATCTCCCAAGAACGCAATAATCTAAGATCACATTATAATGAGCGATTAATTTAGTACTTGCTGCCTGTGGCTGAAGGCAGGACACTCATGATTTGCATAGGGATTCAACCAATCTTCTTTCAAACTGCTCTCCTTAGCGTATTGCTCTTTGCACACCTTCAATTCAATGACAGTCGGCTTCACGGGTACCGCCATCGCCAATTTTACACAGTTCATTCTCTGACGAACTAATCCTTTAATTCTATCCCTGAATCGATTTCATCCCCCTCGAATAATCCTTTTCTGGAGGGTTAACGCCTGCACTTTATCGTGATATTCCTGTCCTTATTACGCCACTTGGGGATCATGCAGAAACTGAAGATGAGAGTATTTTGTTGGCGCAAAGAGTGGAGGACAAAGAGGGCAACGAAGGGAACGGCGGGTTTTGTCCGCTGTCGTCGGTCGTTGAGTCGCGTTGGAAGTACTACGTCTCTTCGACTTTTTGTGGAGTAGCGTAAGAACACTTGTGAGCACTGGTTCTTAATTCTGGCAAAAATCAGTATAACTAAATGTGTCAGTTGCCCGTATTCCGCCAAACACTGGCTCTAGCCAAAAATGTAGTTGAGCGATATTTAAGATTAGCACATAAAATGAAGGTCCACAAAGCTTCACTTCGAACGCTTCACTTTAACCATCCTACCATAACATCACATTGCAAGAGATGCAAGGGCCCAACAAGTACACTTGTTATGACACACGGGAACTTCATTTTGCTAAACCGAAACTAGCCAAGTACCGTAAAAAGTAGGCAGAGAACAAGACTTTTCAGTAATTTGGGGCCACCAGTGAGCAGCAAGTGCTTGGTTTCTCATATGACCCAGTTCATCTGCACTCGAACCACCAGAACAGGGACAGCGAGAACGGGTAATGTCATTGTCGTAATCGTTACCAAACGGTTCCGTCCACCCTCACAAGCTGACGCGCGCCAGCTGTGGTGCGTATCGATCGAGAGTTAAGCTTAGCCTCGTTCTAAAACCGTCCAGTCTTCATTTGCTCACCTCTCTAGAATTTGCGGTGTTTTCCCACCGTATCTCGTACTGACTTGCTGCTTCTCCTGTACTTTTCTTTTCCTCCTATCTTCTTCCACGAAAAGAATTCTGCGTCATCAAATCCAACCTTTTTCTAAGTTCGCACTATGCCGGCATTATCACCTACACACTCTGTGAATACCGGTAGGTTACATGAATTCAGAAACATGAAGCGGGTGGTCTACTCGAACACTCCGTCTGAGGCTCCACGAGTTCCTCAGTTATTCCAGATCTCATGGCCGTTTTTCCAAATGAGGGGGAAGAGTCGGTGAGTGGAAAGTTTCTGAGCAGGCCGGTGTCAGCAATTGTAGCACATATGGGCCTGATCCCACCCTTAAAGTACTCTGCTTTCTAAGTTAGTAGTACTACAATAAAATGCTAGGGAAATAAATTAGTTCAATTCCAGACAAATCTCGAAGCGGCTATTTGGGGAAACGAAGTGCTGTTCCACCCGGTGTATGCGTTCGGGACAGCCGGCATTCGTGGAGCCAAACAATTAACTGCCACCTCCATCGTCTATTGGGACACCAGAGTTTGCCAGAACCTCTTCGGTACATCCATTATGTTCGGTGTCGGCACAAAACACGCTTCAGTGAGTTACTCCTACCCGATAAAAAATGTGTCATTTTCCCAGACCGCCCTCGCTGGTGCAGTGGGCCAGTGACTCACAGAGCGGAGCGTAATACTTGGACACGAGTCTTGAATAAATTCGCGGTAGGGCATTAGTCGTTCCTTCAGAACTAAAAAAACGGGGGGGGGGAGAGATAGGAACTAGCTGAAAATTCCATTCTCAGTAGAAACTAAATCAAAACCACCCTCTTAGCTTGAGCTTGCCCAGCGTGAGCTTCAAAACACGGTGCGGTTTGCGGGTAAAGTTAGAAAATCCGTTCTGCATAATTTCGATTCAGCTTGTAGTTCGTTTGGAATTTAATTTGGGTTCGGAGGAACGTGGCGGAGCAAGTTTAATCCCCCTTGTCTTTATGTAGAACCCCTCAATTGAGTCACTAACCCCGTGGAAATTAAACGCTCAGTCGACTTGATACCTGTGCGGCTACTGGGATCTTATTCGTCGTGTAGCTGTAATGCGATGATGCATTCGGCGGTCCCTACGGCCTCTACCTCCCTCGAAACTTCACAATATTACTATCATTTTTCAAAAGCTATTTACCCTAGAAAAATTGCATCTAGTAATTCATTTTCAAACACTTCTGGACAACAACAGTTCGTAGGACTTTACATGATGGCAGCACTGCTGGAAATGATTACCTGCAGAAGCGAGCCTAGCCCCCAAGAATATTAGTATCATGATTTCCCTACGTAACCCTGCTCATCACATCTGTAGGGTTTGAGATAGAAATTATCGGACATAAAACGCATCTGATAAATCGTCCAGAAGCGAGGAAGTGTAGTGTAGTGTAGAAATGCTCCTGAGGTGCTTCCACAGTTCCACCTGCAGTGGTTCAGTGAAACGATCCTGAACCAGTGGAATGGGGGCTTTGCCTCAGCCTAAGGGTGGAGGAGCTACAAGGTGGATGATCTGCTGCAAAAAATTGGATAGGATGCTTGCAGGAGGTATGGAGTATTGGACATCCACGTCCTTATTAAAAATGCACTTCAAAAAAAGTCGTTCACACATTATCTTATCCTTAGTCTTGGAGAGTCCAATGGATGTTTTCGAGGACTGAGAATAAGATACCAATAAAGGCCCCCTACCAAACTGGATTTTCATCTCGAAATCCCATACTCCATTGGTAACCAATTAGAGGATTCTCGGATAATATTTCAATTCTTGTTTCCCAATCATTTCTTGTGGTTCACATGCACAGTCCAGGGCATTTCTTGGGCAGCATCGATGGGATGTTTGTCGTTTCCTAGCATTAATGAAAAGCATTGTCTGAAGAAGAACAGAAAATTTTCTGAAAGGCCAGTTCAAGGGGCGTTGCCTTGGCATAGTGACGCTTACTAGCACACTTTTACAGAGTTTCTCTAGCCTCCCTCAGATAGTCTCCAAATTTTGTTGGAATAAAGCCAATCTTCCAAATTGTGCCAGACGAAGCTGTGTATTTCCATTTTGAATTGAACTGTTGGGGTTGCCCTTGACATTATGGCTGTCGCCTTATCACTTGTTTGCTAAAGGGACTGGAGATAGCGGTCAGCGGCTGACCCATGTCCTTTGTGGTCGACCACCGGCGGAAATGTGGCTGGCTTAGCTCGTAACGACCGACACAGACAATGCCTTAGACAAATAAAGCGCGGTTGGGACGGGAATCTTCACTCGATAGAGCCCCTCTCAGAGCGGTTTTCAGTCAACAATGTTTATAGAATAAAGGCGATTCCAGAAATTTATAAATATTGACTATTTCTAGACGCGAGCTCGATCACAATTCGTCGATTTACTCGGCGAAGACGAGCACTCTTATGGTCTAAATCAGAAGGGACTGGTGAGGCATTGTGGAATAGAAGTCGCCGTCTGCGACCCTTTACCGTATAGAGAGTAAGTGATGCTTGCAATACTGTTTTATGTAAACTGTTTCATTGATTCTTGTATTTATTGAATTATTTCAACTTAACTACTGCTATACTTTATCTTACTTTATTGGCCGGTTGCACGTCACCCAACACGTTTTATTTCGTCATTTCTTTGGATAACAATACTATGATGTATCTAATATGTTAGGAGGCAACAGCAGGGAAGGCTGATAATAGGGAGGATTTTGTGGGCGAACAAAAACGTGCCTGTCCCGCAGGTATGAGGAGATGAGCAAAAGGAGTTGCTCGTCCATTGGATGCTCGACTTTGTCGTAGTTTTGAAGTATTGCGAGCAGATGCTTATAACAGTGGTCAGTAAAAAATGTGTTTTAGTTGCGTGGTCGGTATACTATTTGACGGGCCTGGCAGGAAAATCAGCTTTTATCGGAACGGAGAATATTTGTGCACTCCTTTCACCGATATCGACGTCTCGGAGCCGCTTTATCCGATGGTTTCGAGGTACGTTGCTTATGCCACTTTTCGAAGATAGTTCTCTTTGAGCGTTCTGGTAATTTTTGTTCATTACTATAACATAAAGGCTGCAATCTTTGCAAATTCCTGCCTCTGCTAAAGGCCGCCTCCATGCTATGAAACACCTTCCTTGTGCGTCAGATAAGCATTTGATGGAGGAGTTCATCGCGCGAATCTCCGTCAAGTACACTGACTGAAAAAATATCTGTGCTAAATTTCCTCTCGTGGAGATGCTGTTTCTCAGGCGACATCCACAAAAAATCAGAGGTCAGAAACAGTAGAAGTTAACCGACGCATAGCCGACGCTCTCTGTCACCTTGCCTAAGGACGTCTCCTCGAGGCAGTCGGGCTACCGCTATTGTGATTTGATGAGCAATAATGGCTACGTATTCGTAAAAATGTCAGAAGAGAGCTTCTCCTGCATCCTGTTTCGCATATCTGCTTATGTTAACGCAAACTCCATGGATACATATTCCTCATGTTGTCTTCAATCATTGAGAGGATGCTTTTATGGCAGGTTCGCATTCAAAAATCGTTTAATGATAACTCTTAGCGCATCGGGAAACTTCTTGCGACTCAAAGCACTCTGCATCCTGACATTCTATGACTATTGTTCCCCTGGATTTTCGGTCGTCAATGAATACTGTCGCTATCCAGTTATTGGTGCTAAAAGTGCGGTAACGAGCGTACCTCAAGTCTGGGGAATTTGTCATAACCGTGAGGAAGTTTCGGATCTTCTTCTACATTCTCTTGCTTCTCATGTGGCAAAATCCTCCACAACCCACGTCAACCGTCGCGCATCGCACTATATCTACGAGTGCGCAGCATTATGTATTTGAGAAGAGGTCGCCACGTTCTATTCATAGGAAGCGGGTGTTCGCATTTGTGGTTGCAGGAAGATTACTAAATCGGAAAAAAGCGAAAGCGGGCCGTGTTTTTTGGAAGTGTCTTAGAGGTCGTGTCGCCCGTAGCAAAAAGGATTGATCTTCCCGACGGTTTTCCGGCTATTTTGGCGGAATTCTCTCATCAAAAGTACCGTGAAATACCTGAAATATGATAGGCTTATATACAGGCCAATCTGCCCATTGTTCGATCGGCCGCGCTTTCTGGAACAAAAGGGGCGGAGTCACCGCTGCGTCGACTGGTCTCAGTATTGAATGCGATAAGAAACAGCCATGGATAAGGATGGGTGAGTCGTGTTGGGCCTCACCCCGTAAGACAGATTTTGATAATGAAGGGTCGCATCGAGAACTCCCTAACAATAAGAGGGGTCGCAAAATTTTCGGTAACGTGCGAACGGTTGCCTCCAACTAGTCTGGGTTACAATTTTCGGGCTCTTCGAACTCTCTTGTAGTAAGTGTTGAATGGAGCGACTGGAGCAGCACCGCATTGGTGTTAAGGGGGGAGGGGCACCATCATAGGGAAATAAATGTTTGGAGTAAGAAGAGGAAGAAAGGGTAGATAATACGAGGAAATTAGGCAGAGAACGACAAGCACTGCGAGCAGCTTCCTGCGCTACATCCAAGTACCAAATTCGTAGATCTGCCAGGCCTAAAAGGCTCATCAATATTTTGGCATAACAACGGACGTATAGGATTCGATTCATCAGTCGTAGAAAAGCTAAAGGTGCCTCTTGCTCCGCCGTTTCTGCTCTGACTCGCTTTAAGAGGCACAGCTCAGTATTAGGTAGTGGAGTGAAGCCGTAGGAGAAATGCACAGGCAACTCGAGTCATAACGACCTCACGGCGTGAAACCACCACGCGAAAGCGCCAATAGTAAGAAATTCGTGTACGCAGGGTTTCACCCTGCTCTCGCAGTCTTAGTTCCACCTGCGAATTGACGTCATATGTAGTTCAGATCCGCTCTCCTTATTGAAGCGCTTCATCCTCCGTTCCATTCCCTTCCCCAGTCGTTCAGTATCTCTAATTTCTCCGTCTGTTTTGTAGAACCCCCGCATCTCAGAGAAAAAGAGTCACTATTTAAAGGTTTTCGGTGATTTCTGAAATCCTTCTTCTTCATTCTAGATTCACTTATAACCTCTTCCTTCATTTTCGAGTGTAATAACCATACCAGTTTGGTCCTGGAGCGCACTTCCATAACAGAACTAGGTTTTGATCAATTTCACTGAAATTTGTGAAGCAGCGCCTTTCGGCTTACTCTTGCTCGAGCCTACTGAAACTTGCCTAGTCCAACATGAAGCCGATCGCGCGATTTTGTGCACCTTTTCAAGTGTTCTGTCGGCTTCGGTACTTTTGATAAACCTCTTCAAATGAAACACATTCTCTTGCGAAAACTCTGTGTCGTTTGCAATTCTGAAAACGAACTAAGTTTGATTCATTTTTTCTTTGCAGCACTGCCCAACAATCTCGCTTCATCGTTGAGAATCAATCATGCCTTTACGTAGCGCACTCGCTTACCGAATCTGCTCTCATGAGGGTGAGTTTCTTTTTGTCTCTGTAGATAGTGAACATTTTTTCCTTTGAGGGAATGGAAGTCTGGTCTTCTTCAAACCCATCGCTATAAAATTTTATACAAATTTTGTCGTTCATGTCGTTGGGGAGAAGGGGGGGGGGTACATTCAAGCGAGAACCACTTAGGACTTACCACTAGCCTCAATGAAGGGAGGGGGATCCCAGAGTGGATCTGAACAATTTTTTGTTCTCCCTGGTGTTTCTTCCTTGGACTTAGTCCTCGTGTTACCTGCCAGCGGTAATAATACCTACCGGCGATTTTTCAACACCCTGTCCCCCCTAACGAGTAAGCACCCAATTTTTTCGCATGAATTGATTACTAAATGGTATAAGAGGTTACAGCTACATATTTGTTACCTATGAAAAAGTGGGACTTGTGTGTGCTAAATGATTTTCTTGCTGTATAGTACACTCATGTGCCGGTGCTCGAGTACGTGCTGCCTACCTTCGACGTTCGTCCTCGTTCGGGCAGATGGAAAGCGCGCTTCGATGCCGACGTACGATGGCGAAAACTCGTCCTATGGCCAATCCCAGTTACATTTCCGCATACTCGTTTGCACATGGGGTGGAGACGAACAATGAACGTCGCATCCCGAATTTAGACAATACATTTGGATCCATCAAGACATCGCGGATTTATATATCATTGATACTATAGTCAAACATGATGATAATCCTTTATATGCTTAATCAATGTCCACTGTTTGTTCTATGTGGCGTCATGGTTCACTGAAGTTGTTTATCTGTTAATTAGCTCTTTCTCCATATCTTGACCGCTTTTGCCATTGATTAGGTAGAGGTATGAGATGGAGGCGTTGCTGGCGTTTGAGCACATATTAAAAGTTTTCCTCTGATTGGGCTGACGTGTCGCAGTTCGACATTGGCTAGTAAAGGGACCTTGTATTTATAAGTTGTATGAGCCCTACTCCTGTATCACTCACTCGGATACAACTGAGCAAATCAGGCGGAGGTGATGGAAGAAGGGGTATATTATTTAAATTCTCGGTTGCTTGCAGTGAACGAGACAAGGAATGTTGTAGTGCCGCCACATTTCTCCGTACTTTCTGGAAAAAAGGTGTTTTGGGGTTTACCTACTCTGTCATTTTCTTTGCTGATAACACTTTAACAGCATGCAATTCTCGGTCGTCAGGGTATAGTTGAAATCTGATAATCAGTGGAACGATTATCATTTGGATTTCATAAGTGCACAGGTCTCGTTTCTAATTATGCATTTCTCATATGGCTAGTTTTTATGCATCAGTAATTGATCGATTTTCGTCGGAATACAAAGATGTGTAGATACGCGATCAGTAGCAACTTTTTAAATGAAGACTTTCATGAAAATATTTGCTAATACCTCTCATTTCATGAAAGATTTCTGGTGTGTGTTTCTTTCTAAACTGCTCCAGTTGAATATTTGTCAAATAAACAGCCAAGGCAACAATGTTGTGTTAGGTAGAAATAACTTTTCTGAAGCATTTCACATGATGGGCCGTGACATCACCAAAAAATCGAATTCTTACATGTTGTGCCTGTGGCTAATTGGTTCGAAGAGGTGGTGGTAGCGCGAAAGCGAGGAACGATAGATGCATAAGACTACTAAGCCTTGTCTACTCATTCTTTTAGCACGTTCGAGGTCTTACATTCCTACCTAAGTCAATTGGGAAGACTATTGGCTTGGGCGTGAGATTCATACCTGGGAGATAACTCGTAATCTAAAGAGTATGTATTTTCCAAATGCCACATTCTGATGCATCGCATTAGCTACACTGCCAGATGAGCTGCAGATACGAAAGTTTCCAAAGATAATAAGGCAAGGTGAGCATAAACACATCTCTAGTAATGCGAGTATAGACGAGAGATAGGATCAGAAGGCCCCTAATGAATTGCATGCGGAGTTCAAGAAGGCACAACTAAGGACTTCATGCTTTATGAGGAGTAAAAGTATTTGGTAAGCTCATGGGTTAGCAAGGAGGCACCCATCAGGTTAGACGAAGGTCGAAGAAGTAAAGTATTGTGTGAGAAGAAGGGTTGACATTTATTGAAAAGTGCGGATCCTAACGCTATTTTAATCGAAAGTATAATGCGTCGGGCGTTTCTATCATTTGACAACTGCCGGTCAGAGGGCCTCTGTTAACGGCCTATCGATCTAGTCAAATTCCCTAAACGGCGCAAGAGTCTAATCTTCCGCTGTGACTTGCCGTTATGAGCCTCAATATATTCCCCCTATAAGCATAACTTTTTCCATCAAAGCACACTCCTGTTCTGGCCGAGAAAAATGCAATCTAACTTATAGGGGAGATAGACTAAATGAACGAAGTCGCACATCGCCGATTTTTTCCGAGACATGAATGCGCCCGTGATGGATGTCTTAGCAAAATATTTCCGAAATGTACACCTATGATGGAAGCTATCTCCTTCAGAGCCCTCCAAGTCGTTTGAATATGACGTCATCCCGGAGTCTATTCTAAAGACGGAATGACAGTCTTTCTCAAGGAGATCACCGACAAAATGTGTCGGCTTGGAGTTTTACATTGAGTTCTTTACC